CTGGGTATATGCATTTAGTATCCAAAAGAGACTGGAGCTTAGAAGCTAAGATATAGGCCTCCTCTCCCTAGGAACCATGTTTGAAGGCATCTAACAACCTTTCACACTCTTTTTCCCAACCCAGTATGTAGGCCCTGTGGCATCCATGTTGAATGAAGGTCTTAGAGGCAGCACATATAGCTTCTGTGAGGTAGGCTACTTCAAAGTTGTTGGCGTACAAGGGAGGGGGTTTGTAAGGTCTTCTATCATTTTCCTGTAGCCAGCCCAGTTTGCTTTGCGGACGTTTGATTTCTCTACGGGAAAAGAATGGCTGTGCCTTTGATAACGATGGGTCTGTGATGGCTGTGTGGGAAGGGTTTAGGACTGGTCATGTCAGGATTGTCAACAGAGGTACTCTTCCTCCATGCTAAATCTGGGTTGGTAGTGGTATTCCACTGACTGGAGCAGAAAGTAGTTGGTTCATGTGTATCAAAGAGGAAGTTTAAATCTAGCTGAAGGCCCAGTTGCTTAATGCATGTAGTTCTCCAAAGCAGCTGAGTAGTTGGAGCCCCAGTCTGGGTGTTAACAATCGTGTGAGTCTCAAACATGTAGGGCTGTAGCAGATCGCATGGTTTAGAGCAACTGATGGAGGCTTATAAGTATTGATGATATTAAGGCCATGTACCTGGACCAGACGAGAGAGCAGAAGACAACTTTCCTATAACCACAGCAACAGTGAAGAACTACTATTTTGTGATTGCTACAGTTCATTTTTTTTCAAACAGCTCTTCCATCACAGCCACCAGGTGCTGAAACAGCTATGTGAGTTTTCGCTGGCGTAGGATGTGAGATATGTTCAGTGGAGTATCCAGTGGGGGAGGAGAGGGAGCAGGCTTTCCTCCTCTTGGGAAATGTTGGCAATCTTAATGCCCTGTTTACAAAGCCAAAAGGACATACTGTTTGTGCCATTTCCTTAAAGTTAGGTTACATCATTGGTAAAATTACAAAAATGGGACTGCCAAATATCCTTGAATATCTTATTTCAAAGAAAGTAAATAACAGCCTCAGTTAATCTGTAAATCATTTCTACCCAGAATGATGTAGTTTTTGAGAAAATAGAAATATTGTTCCTTTTTAACAATGGTGGGCAGACCATTGTTTAAATATTCCCTTTGTTTAAAATTACACATGTTGACGGCCACTGACTTCAGTGTATGGTCTGTACAGATGTTTTTATAAACGGGTAACACTAAAAGCCACAAAAGTATGCTGGTTGAAATTCACAAAATGCATTGAAAACTGAAACAAGAGGACATAAGTGTGAGATATAAAGTAAATAAGACATTGGATCAGTTTAGATCTATGACAGGGATTTTTGTAAGAGCAAAATTTCGCGATCCCACTATCAACCTTGAAGCATAATGGTATGGTCCAAACCATAACACGGCAGTCGTTTTGAGCTCATTGCATAGCGAGAGGATTTTCGTCAACCAAAACTACAATTTCAAGACTTTGATCTTCTTTGTTTTCAAGATCTAGTTTCCTCTGTGCTCATAATTATTAGTTAGTAAACTGAGAATGGATTCAGACTTCCATTGATGTGAACTGACGTGAAAGTGTTTTCATGAAGCATAATTGCATGGGCACATGTATAGGATATTGAACTTGTCATGTCATGGACGCTTGTCAACTGCAGAAACTTTATTGCTCAGTGAAGTTTTTCCCATGAATCCACAGTGTTACATTGTCAAAGAAGCATGACGTTCAAAGGTAATTTACTAACTACTCTGTCATGGAAAAATGCTCCTTTTAAACGGCAGCAACACCTGTCATGCCTGTTCATCTGCAGACACACTCCGCGAGTATGTTTGCTCACTCAGAACACCCTGTAGTTCATAGATTCTCTGCGAAATAAATTGAAATATTTTCAATTTGACTATCCAATAGGCCACTGTGTTTTTCTTGGTTTTTCTCAAAGCAGTTCTCTTAAATACAGAGTAAATCAGTGGAATTAAGACTGTAGCTAATTTTAGACCCCTAAATCAGCCGATCTTGTAACACCACCGCCACACAAACAAAAGTGTAACCCCCCTTCAAGTGTGTGAGTTTGTTTCTGCATTCAATTGGGGACCCTGAACAATAGAGGACAATAAGATCCCTGATTGACAGAGGGTCCCCGATTGACAACTGTGTACAAAACATATGGGTGGTCTTCTAAAAAAGTAAATTACAAACAAAAGAGGAACAATAGGGGGTCCTGAGTTGCAGGCAAATACACACTTGGGTGTGTGGGTGGGTCTTCAGCGGGTTATTAAGGAGACTGTTACTTTTATTAGGCAAATTAGGACAGAGTTATGGGGACATTCTCTCTCCCATAACATTTTTGTCCCCCACAAAATAAGTAAAATATCATGTGTACCCATAACTACAGAACAATGTGTGTGTGTATATGTTGTTTAATAGGCTTTTACCACTTTAAGGTGGAACTGCATCGTCAGGATAAAAATTTGTTTAAAGTTGAAATTAAAATGATTTAATCCATATAATACCAATTCAAATGAATTAGGCTGAGGTATCCATCTCTCTTACCAATAGGAGTAAAAAAAAAGTTGTGAATTCAATTTAAGATTTAATGACCATGTCTTCTTTGGTGTTGAACTGCCCTTAACGGGCAATATCTAACCTTCATATTGCTTGGGTAAGCTTTGTGTCATGTATGTTTCCAGAAAAGCATGTATGAAGTGAGATCATGATAACATCATTTACCTTTACTTAATTTCTGAATAGTTATTATTTCTTTCTGATACCGCTAATGCTTGGTGACTCAAAGTTGGTTGAAGATTGACGTAAATGGTTATCTTACAGGGGATTGGTCATTGTTATTGTCATGACTAACATTGCAGTTTCTCTTTGCATTTATTAAAAATCGTATTTTGGGAGTTAAGTTCTTCCAGAAGAATGCTCAGAGTGAAAACAATATGTTAGCGAATATCTAGCGATTTGATGATGTCATAATACAGCTCTCAGTCTTAAGACTATCTTGACCTTGCAGCCATAATAAGGGTTTTAGAGCACAAGAACAGAGAGAAACAGGTAAAGTAAGCTAGATGTCGTTCTATGCCATCTGCCTGAAATTTATCAGGACCTTACTCCCTGTCAAAATGGCACGGTATCATATGATCCAGTGTTGATCAACATTGTCAATGATTGTTTTAAATATAACTGAATATTTCATACAAATTGAAACTGTGAATTGCCAATGTGACTGATCTTCAAGAAGAAACTCTGTTTATCTCAAAAACATGTCATTCCTACCAAAAGAATGAGCTTTTCTGTACAAAATACCTCCATAACTCGAAATGCCCACACCACTGCATCCTCTTATTTCAAATATTTCATTATGCTGACCCCCAAAAATGTTGCTAAAGTGCTTCAAAAAGTGTGAAAAAAACATACAAACATACTGTAAAGGGCCTTTATCTTCTCTCACTGAACTCTTGCATGCATGCTGAATGAGTCAACCCATAACCACAACAAATCCTGGCTTTTAAGCTAGCCTGATTGCTACTGTGGACCCACTTGTAGCCTGCACAGACAGTCAATCACTGACTCTACAGCAGCCATGTAACTACATAAGGATTCATGTAGGTCATGTGACCACACATAGGAAACACCCAAGTCAAAACAAACCCAGAGTATGTGCTGTGCATCGCACTGTATCACTACTTTTCAAATGATACAGAAGTTTTACCACAGGAAGGCACAACATTTATATAATGTTGATTGTTTGTCTGTCAACAAAAAACATTTAGGTATAACAAAAACCTAAAAGTGAAATGATGGTCTTATTTACCACACACTATGTGTGTGTATTTGGACACTGTGACTCAGGAACATTTTTTTGCTTGAAATTCAAACAGCTCAAATTTTTATCCATTGTCCAGAGATTTGAGGTGTAGAGATTTGACTATATTAGCTAATTTACGTAATTTCAAGTAAGAGCAACTTGCAACTTTGCAAAAAAAGTATTGCTACATGGAGTAGCTCACTTTATAAGCAGGATTTCAAAGAAGTCCTGCCCCACTACCCTAATTTCAGAAACATTATCCCAACTGGAAAAGTAGGAAATACATGGGAAAAATTATGGTCACCTATGTTTACACTTGTAAGGCTTTATTATAGAATTTCATGCGACCAAGAAATGGATGCATGATTAATAGAAGTGCACTTGATGGTTGTCGCTTTAAGTACCAGTGACCAGTCACCAAAGGATACTGATGACAAATCTGCAGAATCAAATGCTTGAACTGTGACATAGTCACTGACCTAACTTTCCATGATTGGTCAAGCTCACACGTGATTGTCAAGCCTGAGAATTAAAGTCTTTCATGTTTATATTGTGTGCTGCGCAAACATCACAGCAACCATGAACTGCCGCAAAAGGCTTCTGCATTCAGTGACCAGTGTTCACTATCATGCAACCCACTAGTCATATTTACACTGCCTTCTGTTGGAACTGGTTAAAAACTTGTGTGGACACTAACTGGTGAGACTTTCTCATGCTTATCTGAAAAAAAAACTTTGGTTGTCATTATGTGATTTGTGGAATCCCAGTCAAAGTGCACCCAATAATTTACATTTGCATAATGGTGGTGGTTATTCTCAAAGATGTACCTTGTTTGATTAACCTCTTATGTTGCATGCAGCATGTCCAGTCTGAAGTGCTTCTACCAAATTGGCCAAGATACTTCTGGACCTTCAGTCTCTATCTCATGCACCCAGCATCTACTGTTAGACAAGCTGCCAGCATTATATTCAAGTATATTGGTAAGGTTTGTCACTCTCATTACACCTGGGTTAATCCCTGTCATCTGATTTGTGGAGTGTCAATCAAATGTTTTTTATATTTGTCCCAATACAAAGCATGGACTGAAAAAACAAAAACAGATCATTTTAATTCTCAGTCTAGTATTACAGAAATGCTTATCACTTGTATATACTGTAGCACTATTGCTGAAGTTTTTATGCTGTTCTTCACATAAATTAGTGGACAGTAATAGCAATACACTTTAAACATTGTTTCTTCTTATGACTTTTCAGTGGGACTTGAATTAGCGCACACTCCCATGGGACACTCATGCAATGCTCTTACACTGGTTCATGCTGCTAAATTGGAAGAACAACAATCATTTGGTTGGGAGCCAATCTTAGCATTGAATCCATGAGTGCAGTGGTACTGTCCGACCTCCATCATAGCCAGCTTTGATTTGGCCATTTGCTTTGACTCTTGACATAAACTGAGGAGTAGAATTCCTTGAAATTTTAATATTGTCTTTGTCACAAGCCCGGGTCCCCCCTACCCTCTGACACCCAATGTGTGCACGGTAAATTGCACAGTACACCCAAACAGATAATTTAACTTCAAAATTCAATGGAAACTAATTTATTTACAAATATACAAACCACAAAAACAATTTGATGAAGGGGGAGCAAAATAGATTAACAGTTAAAAAAATGGGTTTCATAGAAACTAGAAGGCTGGTGGGCTGGTTAATAATTACCACTAGCCCAAATTCGGACGGTTCAAAGGGAGAGTTCGGCACTTTTCCGATGCGCCGATGTTACATGACTCTCAGCCGATCCCCTACTGGGCTCCTGCAGTTGACACTGCAGGAGCCCAGTAGGGGTTCGGCACTCAACAAGCCTTGCTTTTTTTACGAGACCTTTCCACTTCCTGTTGTTACTGTCTATTGTATGTGTTACATGTATTTGTTTATATGTGTTTGTGGAGTGGAAATTGAATGAAGAGGCTTGTATGATAAGTCTTCTGTTTTCATCTTACTTACTTGTATTCCCTAACGCTGTCGGCCATTCACTAAGTTTGATCTATTGTAGCTCTCTTTCTATCTCCCACAATGCATTGTGGTGCCTCATCCATAATCTCCTTTGTTTTTCAAATGGATATGTATTTTCTATTCTTGTTAGGTAATGCTGGTGTGTATTGGACCATTAAAATTGGTTATTCATAATGCCATTTCTCATAAGGTGTTAGCCACCTCATCAATGAGGGTCCCATATATGGATTTTTTACTCTCCCATCAGGGGGCTAACTGAACAAAGGAGTGTTTGTTTGGCTTAAGATCCTCTGCTCCCTCCTCTGCTGCTTCTCTGCAAATTTGTGTATTTTGGGGGCTTTTTGTATTTTACTCATGGTGATAAATATTTGTCCACAGCAGGTCATTTATACACTGGGAAAATTTTTTATGCTCTACAATATCAAATTGCACCACAACACATAAATAATTCCCAGGGAAACAATTTGAAATGCCTCACTCCACAAAAAACATTGATATCAGCCCCACATAACCCAAAAGTCCAATATTTCAACTTCATCGACAATTGCCAGGTTGTAGAAACTACTGTTTTAAACCATTCTATCAGCATGCATCAAAGACAATCTACAAGTAGTTTGATTGTTTTTTATTATGGCTGAAGTGACTTTGCACAAAAGTGCTTCTCTCAGTCATTCTGGGCTGGTAAGTGGGAGCAGTCATGGCTGGCAACGTGCATGCATGACCACACATTCATGTCACATGCACATCCATCAAAAAGTATCCACACACTGTCAGTGCACACCAGAAACACTTTATAAATCAACAAATATGGTAACAACCCTTTCATTTATACAACAGGTTTTGCCCTTATATAAATTAACATCTCCCAAACACAAAAAAATATATCTTGAAAACCCTTTCATTGTGGGCAAACAAGTTATTGGGAAAGGAAATGGGATATAATATATCTTGAAATTGCAGATTTTTTCAAGAAAACGGGCTTCACCATGGAGCCCAAATCAGAAAGGAGCAGCCATGTTGCAGAGTATTGAGTATTATTATCTAAATGGTTTATAGTGGGGTAGTGATATTTTTGCACAATAAACTCCTCTTTCTTGAAGAAAATTTAATTTCAAACCAAAACAGGTTCTCCTTCATCCCATCAGTTACAGTTTATTTTTTAAGATGATAATGTGTTTGGGCAAAAGGAAGGTGTATTTATCGCTTTTATTGTTACTTATTAATTTATAGAGTGCTCCAACAGCTGCATGCATTAAACACATTCTTCGTTGCACGTTAACAGTTGTGATACTTAAAAAAAAATTATCTGGACAATCATTGGAAAAGTATTTAAAAATATTTCTCGAAAATGATAGTATTCCGGGCAAAAATATTTCAATGATTGTTGGACACTGTTATTCACTTACTTTCATTCATTCTTTATTATTTTTCCCACATCACTCGACACATTTTCAAATATATATAATTATATTCCAGAGTTAGTCGTAATGATGTGGATGGAGATCCCCCAAAAGCAATGCTTGTCGAGTAGCGATCCCCCTATTGTAACTTAAATTTAACTTTGAACCTTAACTGAAAAAAAATAGTTACATTAAGCACTAAACACATTAAAGAAACATTAAACAAGACAATAAAACAATTGACAGAACCAGACTTCAATCAAACAGGTGGAAGAATACTAAAAATCGTTGGCATATGTACATGTATATGTTAACATTTTTCAGAATTTGAGTAATTGGACAAAAGACAATTTTTACTTTTGGATTTAAACAAGGGGAGACTGTGAATGGTAGTAAGAGTACTTTAGTACTTTGCAGTCATAATTTCCATTCTTTTGCTTAGTATCAGGCCCAGGGGCCATGCATCTTTGCACTGTTGAATTTGAGTATCCATTTTTCACTTAAACGCATTGTACACACTAGAATTTTTCAGTGTAGCTGTGAGTTACTGTTCTTTGACACCTGTAAGTGTGAACTTACGAGAGATTTTAACATTATCTTTATCATTCTATATGTGGTACCAGGTTGCAAAGTTCAATGCCCTGCGGGTATCTTGTTTAGAGGAACCTGAAAAGTGAATGCATCAGAATCGATGACGAGGCCCAAGAATTTATCAGATAGCAAACAAATGAGACATTATGGGAAACCGACTGAAAGTTGGGCGAGACAATGAGTCCGTCGTCAATGTACATGAATGCGATAATACTATTTTGGTGGCAGTGGTGTGTAATGGGCCTGGTCAGCTTAGTGAACAAGTGGCAAGCGCTACTTAAACCAAAGGGGAAAACAGTAAAAGTATAGTAACGTGTAACTGCGTCATGATGGTGCCAAGAAAAACCGAGATATCTTTGATGAGTCAGAAATATGTCTGTGTGATGATATCCCAACTCAAGATGAGAAGTAGTGTTGGTTACAATCAAGCGAAGGTGCGATATGACTCAAATCCTCGTACTTAAATTTCTCTTTCCAGACATATTTGTTTGGGTGTCTAAGGTCCAGCACTAACCTCAACTTTTATCCTTCTGCGACCATTAAGGGATTGCAGCAATAGGGTGACAAGGACAATTCAACAATGGAAGATTTTGCAAGCAAATCCTCAATGGCGGATTTGACAGATTTAGAATGGGATAAGCTTGATTTATTATTTGGTAAATGAATAGGGGGAGGAGTCACGTAAAAGGGAATTTTATACCCTTCAAAAATGACCTCCTGAACGAAGGTACTGCACTTAAATGTGTCTCGCCAAAATAAAATGCGAGGTTTTAGCTTACCCTGAACTCCAGTAGGGACCGGTGTCGCCGATTCTTGAGTTTCCTAGTCTCTAGGCTGTAATGGAATCGTTGACTGAAGATTTTGATCTGTGCTGAGGTTGTCGGAGAGATCGAAGGGAGGGGAAGCTGGTCCGGACATGTCCTGCGATTCCACACTGAAAGCAGGTGCGGAATTCTGGGCGATAGGGGTACTTCCGGCCGAAGGGACGAAAAGGAGTGGAACGGTAAGAAGGCACGGGAGGAACGTACCATGCAGGGTTGCGATCCTTAGCTTTAGACTTCTTTGCCGCCTCTGCTTTCTCAGTGGTGGCCATTTTCTCTGCCTTTTGCAGTCGGTTTTCATCGTCGGAGTCTTCAGCTAGATCATCTGTGACGTACTCTCAAACAGTGGCCCAGCCTTGGGACAACCTATCGGCCAATTTGATCAGTTTCTGACGTTGTGTGATATCTGTATTGGATTGCTTTAGGGCCTGTTTGGCCATGTCGGCGTCTTTGGCATCTATCAAAGCTAGGGCGGTGTCGATTAGGCCGGATAGCTTTTCTCCGTAGCGGTACTGGTCCTTGTTACCTTTGCTTTTGAGTCTGGCGGGCTATCGGCAATGGTACACTGCCTCTTCACTGCGGACTCCACTTTACTGTCTATAGATTTAGACAGGTTTCTCCAGGAGAATTTCCTGGTTTGCGGTATTGGCGTTAGAAGGATTCATAATACCCAGAAATGAGCGGAGTACAAAGTGCGGAAAGCGAGGTGAGGTTGCTCGACCGAGAGTGAAATTGAACAGAAGGCTTAGAGTTTATATGTAGTGAACGCTGAAGTGTGTTACATAACAAGGCGTGCAAGGCATTGCGCGCCGCACCTGTGTTGCAATAACGGAAAGAAAAGTCACTTTATTGCTAGACATGATTGTAAGGATCAACTTTAGAGAGATGTGTTGACAAGGCAAAACCAACAACAGGAATGACGTTCTTGTCAGTAAAGTGCTCTGTATGCTGAAGTCAAAGCTTGTTCCAACTTGTGCTGATTGTTTCGGCTGTACCAAAAGGAAACATTGTATGAACTCAAAGTACTCCCCACCCTTTTGTAACTCCTGCCCCAGCATCGTTCAGGTCTGGTTGGACTCCAGCTCTCAATTGTTTCCACACCTGAGTAGTTTGTGGTTACCAAGTCTTATCTATCACCACCATTTCCTGGCTTTTTTAAA